TTTCAATTAATTTTTTTCAGCATTACATCTTTTTTTTTAGATTCAAAAGAAATTCTGAACAAAACTTAGGGCTCTACTTTAGCTCCATAGATTACAACTAACCCGTCAGTTTGTAAAAACCCTTGAGTACTTACGAGTCCTGATCCTGCCCACCAGAGGCGGGCTCCTCTGTGTGTTCTGGATGGCGATGATTCTGATMATGTAATCTGTGGTGGGTTTCAGTCCTGCGGATGAATCAACAAGAYTGTTAGTCTTTTCAAGTCCAAGACTGGTCTGAGGACACATGGGTCCAGATCCGGACTGTGGTCCACCATTAGAGGAAAGATTTCTCCTTTCTAAAGGTGTTGGTACCCATTATGGTGGCGTAGTTCTGTCCAGCGTGGGGTTGGGGGGTCAGCTCCTGCGGCGTTCTTCCAGACTCCTCGTAGGTGATGTAATATCCTGTGATGTGCGTAGAGGGGGGCTGCCAGGTGAAGGAGACYGAGGTGGGCATCACGGAGGTGAACTGGAGGTTGGTGGGAGCCTGGACCACAGGTCTCGCTGGAAAGAAAGACGTGTTATCTCATTTGTTACGTGATTGGTCCGATCCAGAGTCAGGAAGTAGGTGCTGCTAGGCTAACGGCTCTTTGATCCCTTTAATGAGAGGTGACGGCTGGTTTCGTACCTGTGTCCACCCTGAGTGTGAACGGAGCGCTCTTCGTGTTTCCGTTCAGCGTGTACAGGCTGACGGAGTAGGTGGTGCCCGGCTGAAGGCCTGAAAAACACGAACTGTCAGAGAAATGACTCTAAAAGAGAGCGTTTCCAGCAGGAAGGTGAGGTGTACCTGTGAGGGTGTAGGTGGTCTTATCTCCGGGGATGGTCCTGCTGATGGGGGAGCGCGAGCCGCTCATGGGCTTGGCTTCGATGAGGTAACTTGTGATGGGTTCTAACTTGGCCCTCCAGGTCAGAGTGAAGGACGTGTCCTTCAGGTCTATGATACGAACGCGCCGTGGAGGACTCACCTCTACGTCAGGGAACAAACACAAACCACTCTGAGCCTCGAACACACCTGTTCTCTGTTCACTACCACTGAATTCCTGCGGCGGCCATCTTGAACCAGATGAGTTTCATTAGTGGTTTTTGGTATCAAAGTCGTTTACCTTCCAGTGTGGTCGCTTCTCCCTCCAGTGGTTTGCTGGTGACGGTGTTCTTCAGGGCGTAGACCTGGATCTGATAGGTCGTCGCCACCTTACGGTCCGGAGACACGCCCAGAATTATTTACAGGTTATTAATGTTTACATGTAAACACTGACAGAACATAGAAACAGCGTTTACCATCAGCCCCGGTACAACGACCCGGGTGGAGTCCGGACCGATGTTCAGTTCTTTGTGAGGGCTGTTGATGTTTTTGGGGGTAACGACCACTCGGTACCCTGTCAGGCGTGCATACGGTGCTCGCCACGAGACGGTGAAGACAGACGGGCCGAGGTCTGAGACCAACATGTCGGTGGGGGCGGGGATTACTGAAACGCAAAGACCCCACGTCAGATCACGTATCAAAAACATAGCTAAAAGGTTAAATGTAGCAAGACCATAAAAAACTTAAAATTACCTTAAATGAGCAGAACAGCAGTTAAAAGCTAAATGTAGCTAAGGTGCAGCTAAAAGCTCTAATTACCAAAATCATATCTGAAGCTAAAAGTATCAAGGCTATAGCTACAACAAAAACATATCAAAACTGTAGCTAAAACCTTAAATTAGCAGTAGTTAAAAGCTAAATTTAGTAATGCTCTAGCTAAAATAATCAACGTATCAAGATTGCAGCTAAAAGCTAAATTTAGCAAAGCTGTAGCTAAAATGAGCAARGTATCAAGACTGCAAATTAAAGCTAAAATTAGCAAACAGTTAAAGTCTAAATCTAGTAGAACTGTAGCTAAAAGGTTCAGATAGCAAAATTATCACTAAAATCTTAAAGGTAGCACAACCGTAATTAAAAAGCTTAAAGAAGAAAGATTGTTGCTAAAAGCTAAATCTAGCAAAATTCTAGTTAAAAGAGCCTGTTGGCAAAATCATAGCTGACGCTAAATATCCCTAAACCAATGGCAAAAACTTTAAACATAGCAAGACTGTAGTTAAAACCYTAGCTAAAACTGGAATGGGGGAATAAAGTGGCTAAAGGTGATACTAGTAAAACTTGTGGTTAAACACTAAATGTAGCTAAACTCTTGTTTGCTAACCAAGTAGCTAAAAGGAGCAAAAGAAAACAAAAACTGAGCCAGTAGATGAAGCAGATTTCAAAGAGAAATAAGTTTTTAAGGAACTGATCTGGATCTGTTTCTTTGGAGGAAATATTTGTAAATTTAGTTAAATAATTTAATAAAAGTCAGAGCTCCGTGATCCTTACTGAGCCGAACATTTTGATCATTGAATAGTGAAAACAGCACAAAGTGATCGATTGTAAATACAACCCGCAGAGAAAACTCTAAACAGGAAATGGCGTGTTGCTGTCCCACCATCAGACCCTGTCATCTGAGGGTTCAGGTTTCTGCGTACCAGTGGCCTGGGTTCCCACTAACGGTGCGCTGGGTGTCCGTCCGTTGTAGGCGATGACCTTCACGGTGTACTCGGTCCCAGGCTGGAGGTTCCTCAGCACAGCGCTGTCCTGGTCCCGTCTGGGCGCCGGACGCAGCTCCCGCTCGCCCTCCTCGGAGCTGGAGTACAGGACGCGGTACCCCGTCACCGTCCCGTCCGGACTGTCCCACGTGATGCGCATGGACGTGGAGTCGATGTCAGAGAAGCTCAGATCTTTAGGATGGTCCATCGCTGTGGAGACACAGACAGAAGATGAAGCCACGACYTTTGAACCGGTCGGACGCTCGGGACCTTCTGACTGAACCAACCAGTGATGGCGTTCTCCACCACAGGAGAGGACGGCTGTCCATCYTTGCCCAGGGCATAAACGCTCACCACGTACTCTACGGTGGGCATCAGACCCGTGAACGTCATCTCTGTCTGATCTGCACAAAAAATAAACTACCAATGAGAAGGTTTTTAATCYATAAATYTTTTAGATGTCAGATTAAATGTCCAGCCTGACTTACCGGGGGCCACCACCTCMGAGTAGGAGGGTCCCAGGCCGTTTCTGGGGACACTTGTGACTCTGTAGCCTCTGACTGGTCCCTGAGCTGGAGACCAGCGCACCGTGAGAGCGTTGTCCTTCACATCTGTGACTTTCATGTCAGTTGGAGCCTCRGTGTCTAAAGAATCAATAAATAAAAGAAATGTCTTATTTTAAATTTTAGTAACCAATCAGGATATGTTGTTTGTTGAAACATTTKYTCTTTTATCSTTACAGACATCTTTAGTCTGAGGAGTTCTTCAGTTTGGATCCATATAAGAGAAATCTCTAACAAAAAGTACAGTAAAAGGACAGAAAATGCTCGTCTTCTACAGCTCRTCTGACTTGTGGGATCCCTCAAGGCTCTATTATAGGCTCCCTGCTGTTTAATCTCTATCTTGCCTCTGGGGTCCCTTTTTAGTAAATATAAGATTCCTGTCCACWTTCAGGTTTATCTGRCTATTAAGCCAGACTCGATTAATTTACTCCAATCACTCCTGAACTGTCTGAGTTACAYAAAAATCTGACTATAACTGAATTTCCTGAATCTAAACAAAAGTAAAACAGAAGTCATCAGCTTTGGTATTTCTCTTGGTCCTCTGGCTTCATACAGCTGCTCTGCTCTCAGAAATGTGGGTTTCATTTTCCATTGTGCCTTTAAACTGGACGAGATAAACTCAGTTGTGAAATCAAGTTTTTTTCAACTTATTGCCAAGGTGAAGTCATCTCCCAACCAAAAACCTTGAAAAAGTGAATCATGTTCTCATTACATCTCATTTGGATTATTGTAAAGRTTTCTATGTTGGTTTAGAGAAATCTTCTCTGCTTGGCCATAACGCAGCAGCTCGTCTTTTAACAGGTATTAAAAAACACAAACACGTCCCCGGTTTTTCTCACCATTGGCTTCCTGTTAGGTTTAGGATAGATTTTAATATTTTATTGCTTTATTTTTAAAGCTTTAAAAGGTCTGGCCCCATCGTCCCTGTGTGATCTCATTAACATCAGTCAGAGCACTTCGCTCAWCCAACCAGCTTCTCTTAGATGTTCGTGGTTCGAGGCTAAAGTTTAGAAGTGATCGGTCTTTGCAATTTCTGCCCCAAACCTTTGGAATGGTTTACCTTTTTGCATTTGGACTGTTGAGACTTTTAAATTTTTGCTTAAAACTCATCTTTACGCCTTGGCCTTTCATTCTGGTAGAGTTTGAGATTCCTTTGAAGTCAATGTGTTCAATGTTCATCCACACATCCATTATCTATACCCACTTCTTCCTAGGTTTTCAATGTTCTATTTCTTTATTCTAAATTGATCTTATTCTTATTTGTTTTTATCGTTTTTGTGGCTCAATTGTGAAGCACTTTGGTCAACTCATGTTGTTTTTATATAAATAAATTGACATTGAAAAAAATGTTCAAGTAAAAAAAATTGTTTGAAATTTACGACCAATCTGGGTCAGATAGGATTGGTTACAATCAACGCAAAACAACACAACTAATAAAGGAGAACGTATTTTGTTTGTTTTGGACATACCGGTCCTGTGTGTTATGTAGACGGGTTTATTGGAGGCCGGGCTGTCTCCTCTGGCYGTGACGGCATAGACGGTGATGGTGTAGTCGATACCAGGGCGCAGCCCCGTAATGGTGGCCGAGGTCTGGGTACCGGGAATGGAGAARTCCTGAGGAGATTCTCCTCCTGGAAGCAAACAGAAATGATRGAAACACTTCATTCTGAAAAGGTTGGGAGGAAGAACTGAATGAAGAAGTTCAGACACACCTGTCCCTCCGTAGGTGATCCTGTAGTTCCTCACTTCAACAGAGGGGGCGTCCCAGCGGATGGTGATGGTGGTGGGGGTGGAGGACGTCACAGTCAGGTCAGTGGGAGCGTCGGAGACTGGAAATTATTACAAAAAAAATGTTTAAACATTTCTTTTACTGTGAAAACACAGCCGAATGACAGATGAAACTGAGTCATTCAAAATAAAAGAAAACACTAACTTAATGCTAAGTGTAGCTAAAGCCTAGCTAAAAGCAGAAAACATAGCTAAAAGTAGCAAAAATAGCTACAAGCTAAAATACAAAAAGGTTAGGCAAAAAGTAACGTAAGGCATAYGTTTAAAGTAGCAAAATGATAACAGCTAAAATAGAGGGCCTAAAAGCTGAAGGTCCTAAAAGACTAGACAAAAGTTCAAAGTAGTAAAAATTTAAAGTAYCAAAAAGCTAACTAAAAGTAGCAAAATGTTAGCTATAAAACTTAAAAGGTTAGCTAAWTTTTTAAAATAGCAGAATGATAGCATAAAACTAAATGTAGCATTAGGCTAACTAGAAGCTAGAAGTAGCAAAATTCCTGAGAAAAGCTAAAAACAGCAATTTGCTACTTGACAAATTTAAAAGCCTAAAACTTTAAAGTATCAAAAGGCTAGKTAAATCCTAAAATAAACCCTTAAAATTAAATGTAGCAAAAAGCTAAATAAAAGTAACAAAAGGTTAGCTGAAAAACTAAACATAACAAATGCTGATTAAAATGTAAAAAWAGCAAAACCCTAAGAAAAGGTTAGCTAAAACCTAAAAGTAGTAGAATGACAGCATATAACTAAATGTAGCATTAGGCTAACTAGAGGCCAAATACCAGTGAAAAGCTTTTAAAAAAAGCTATTTACTATGAGCCCCGGTACAAAGACCCGGGTGGAGTCTGGACCGATGCAAAATAAAAGATGTGTAAGTATCTGAAGGCTAGCTCGAAATAAAAAATATGAAAAGACAAGCTAGAAGCTAATTGTAGAAAAAGACTAACTTAAAATGCTAAAAATAACAAAAGGCTAACTAATKTCTAAAAGTAGAAAGAGCCTTAAAGATGTAGTAAAACATTAGCTAAAAGCCACAACTAGCAAAAGGCAAGCTAAAGCCTAAAAGTAGCAAAATGATAGCTGAAACTAAAAGTAGCAAGAAGCTAAATGTAGCAAAAGGCTACCTACGAGAACTTGAGGGAAAAAATATTTGTAAAAAAAACAAAAACAAGTAGAACTCCCGACTCTAGAATGAGCCGAACGTTTTGATTTATGAACAGCTGAAACAACCTAAAGTCTGCAGCAGCATTGATGGTTTAAGCGTCTCGCTGCAGAGACGGAGGTCAGAACTCACTGGTGGCCTGGGTTCCGGTCAGCGCCTGACTCTCCTGCCCGTTGCTGATGGCGAACACGTAAACCATGTACTCGGCCTCCGGCGCCAGTCCCGTCACGGTGAAGTGGTTCCTGGTGGGTGGGAGGCGCTCCTCCTTGGCTCGCCCGCCGCTGGTCTTCTGGTAGCGGATCTTGTAGCCGCTGACGGAGGCCCTCGGGGGCAGCCAGTGGACCGTGAAGGAGTTGGTCCGGATGTCCGAGAACCTCAGTTCGGTCGGCGAGTCCAGAACTGAAAATTAAATAAATAAATAAATAAATAAATAAATAAAAGCAGCCTTTAACCATAGAGCTGGTCCAGGTAAGGGGGATCATGTGACTGTTTGTCTGTCCCAAAACAAAATGGGCTCCTGACTCAACGGACATTAAATAATGAGTTATAAAGCAGTCGGGTTCACAAATAATGAGCCAAAGTTTGGTGTGGTAGTAGCTGAGGGTCATCCCAAATCACTCCTAACATCTTGTGATACGATGAAGTCTCTCCAGGTGTGGAARGCAGACCCACCTGTGCTCTGAGTTCCTGTGACCGGTCGACTTTCCTGATCGTCGTAAACGCTGACGACACTGATCCGGTACTTTGTGTCGGGCTGCAGGTCTTTATAGACGAAAGGAGACAGATCAGTTGTTTCATATCGCACTGGGGTGACGGCGAAACGCAAACTCTAAACATCATCTTACTCTGCAGCAGGAAGGTGTTGGTGGCTCCGCCCACATTAACTTCCCGGACGTCGTCGTCCGTGGCCACGGGGTGATAACGAATCACGAATCGGGAAATCTGACTGGGCGTGGCGATGTTGGGGATCGTCCACGTCACCCTGATGTGGTCGGGACCGACGCCGCTGAACTGCAGGTTGCTTGGAGCCGGCATGACTGCAGGAACCAGAGGAATTCAAATAATTAGCTTTATTTATTGAAATAGATCAAATCCTGGTTGGTGTTCAACAACAACGTGCTGCAAACTGCTTTCTTTACAAACCACTGCAGTCTGGTTCACCAGGTTTACAGAGAAAAGTTTCACTTTRTTCATAAATCAAGTCAAAATAACTTATTGGTTTTAGTCGTAAACAGAAATGTTCRTAAATCTGTCTGCAGTTGTTTAAGCACAAATTCAATTTATAATATCAGCTTTTCTTCTTTTAGCATTTAGCTTGTTTTTTTTTCATTTAGCTAGTTTCCTTTGTTTAACATTTAGCTTGTTTTGCTTCTTTCATCATTCAGCTAGTTTTATTTTAACATTTAGCTTGTTTTGCCTTTTTCAGAATTTAGCTAGTTGTGTTTTAGCATTTAGCTTGTTTTGCATCTTTCAGCATTTAGCTAGTTTTCTTATTTTAGCATTTAGACAGAGTTGTGCTTCTGTTAGCATCTAGCTAGACTAGTGTGCTTCTTTGGGCATTTAACTGAAGTTTTCTCTTTTTAGCATTTAGTTTTGTTTCTTTTAGTGATTAGCTAGAAAGGTGTTTATTGTAGCATTTAGCTAGAGTTTTGTTTCTTTTAGCGATAAGCTAGAGTAGTCCTTAATGTAGTATTTAGCTAGTTTTGTTTCTTTTAGCAGTTAGCTAGAGTAGTACTGATTATTTTAGCAATTAGCTAGCATAGTAGAAGAACTTTTCTTCAGCTTATTAGCTGTTTTATAAATCTGAACTGTAATAAATATTAGGTATGGCGTGTTTCCAGCTTCTTGTGAAACTCGATCAAACTGACAGGAGATGAAACTATCAGAGTTGGACACTTCATGTGGACACCCTGTGTCCCCGGTGGTTCTACCTGGCGTGACGAGCGTGGACACCGGTGGGCTTTCCACGCGACCCTTGGTGGTAAACACGCTGARGTTGTACTCCACACCCAGGTTCAGGTTCTCCAGCGTGCAGGAGGTCTGATCCTCACGGACAAACTCCTCCAGGAAATTTCCCCTGTGACCCATGGTCGGCGTGCTCGTCACTCTGTAGCCCGAGATTCCTGCAGAAAAGTCACGAAACTAAGCATCCTACTCTTTTTCAAACATTTCATTTGACAAATGGTCAATCCTGTTTTCTTATATTGTTTTTTTTCTCTCTACATGTTTGAAAGAGACTTGTAACTTTAATAAAAAAATCTATTTTTGTGATTTTTGTCCACGTTGTTGTATTTTTTGTTGTTGGAGTTGAAACAAGATAAAAATCATCACCAGGAGAAATGACATTAAACCAACAGATGAGAAATCACGGTGCCAAATCCCAAGAATAAAAGATTTGCTCCAGGATAGAAAAACAAACATTCAAAGGCCAAAGTCCGGACTCGGTGCGATGTGAAGGCCCAGCGGTGCGTGGGGMGCACGGTCAATATTTACCTTGTGTTTTGGAGGCCGCCCAGTAAACCGTTAGATCTCCTGTGTCCGGGTTGGACACCACTCTGAGGTCAGTGGGAGGAGACAAAGCTGCACAAGACGAAACAAAAACCCACAACTCTTTAAATTTCATGTGGTTGTAAGATCTCAGTGTAAATGAAATATTGACGTACAGGTGACGACGTTGCGGGTGATGGGGTTTCCACGGTTGCGGTTGTTGTAAATGGGCTGAACGCTGTAGGTGTACTGAGTCCCAGGGTTCAGGCCGCTGATGTGGATCCGTCCGGAGTCCGAGGTCTCCTCTCTGGGAGATTCGCCCTCTTCACTCGGGAGCACAGAAAGCTAAAAACCATATGCAAAACTTTAATTTAGATATTGAGATTTAGGCTAACAAGATAATGTATATTAGCAAATAAAAAATAAGCACAACCCAGTCAATTTTACAGGTTTTGAACTATAATTTGGCGTGGCAGTCTCTAAGACTGACCCACAACACGTACTCTGAGCTCTGACAGATCATCTACCAAATATGAAACGGGAGGTTTATAGACAACAAGTGTTGAGCTAGCTGAGGATGAGGACAGGGATTCTGCCCAGAACATATTATATGAATTTGCAGTGGTGGGCAGCACTAATCTAAATATAAGTGTAAGTAAGTAAGTAAGTAAACTTT